AGAAACACCTTATTCAGTTAAATTACTTAAAAACAAAATAATATATACTAAAACAGAAATTGAGATTATCCCTCTCATATTAAGGTGGGATAGCTTCAATTAATAAAAATAAAGTCAAACCAACCCCCCAAAATTAAAATCCATGTTTGATATTTAAGCTAAAATACTCCTAGGCCAGTTTAAAGGGATGATCCCCATTTTCTTTAGAATGAAGTTATATATTTTTGTTTATATTCTATAACAGATATGCCATTTTAGAAAATCAGAAGAGGTGTATGGAACTGATAACCTTAGTCCAGAGTGGCTAGATTATTCTTTAAAACCAGGATATACTTTTTTTACCTTTATAAATATTTTGTGATTCAGGAAAAAAAAATCAGAGAAAAAGAAAATTACATTTAAGGGAGAGGGGACATAGTATGCCCAAGTTCTTTAGCACTAGAAACGGGCCCAAGGCTGGGAACTGCTGGGGAGAGGACAGAGCAAGGTAAGGAGGCTCTTGGTGGAATGATGCTTGTCTTCAGACCCACATACTTTCTAGGTGAGAACCTTGAGAAGAAGAAGCACACCTTGTCCAACTTAGTGTTTCCTACCACAGCTTAGTACTTCCCAGGCAGAATGAGCAAAATAGGTTGGTGGAAGAACAGTAGCTGACATCATAGGTGACATGGACCATTGGGTTCAATGAAGGAGCCTGTGTTTCAGAGCTATTTCAGACACCTGGGTTGAACTCTAGCTCTGCTACCCCTTTCCTGGGTGGGCTGACATATGTTATTTTCTCTACTGAGATTATGACAACTATTTTAAAGTGGGATACTTACTCTTCGGATTTCAGGGAGCCAATACAAACTGTTCTTTCATTCCTGAGCTCCGAACAGTTCCATGAGAGGGATGGCAATTGGATCATCAGCTTTATTGCTGCAAAAGAAAGCTGGCAATGTGACTTAATTCTATAGCCAAATGGTCTTACTAACAGCCCTGCCCTAAGTCAATGGAAGTGTGAAGAGTGAGAATGCAACTCCCCTTAACGCCTACCCAGAGGGCTTTAGGATGGAATTATTTCATTTGCAGGGGCAATCAGTAAGTCTTCCTTTTCACCCCACTCTTCCAATCTGATTTAGAATATTCTGTAAATCAGCAGAAATGAGCATATTAACTGGGTTAAACAAGATTTATGGGGCCATTTTTTTTTTTAAGTCTTGTAGGGGCCAGGTGTGGTGGCTCATGCCTGTAATCCCAGTACTTTGGGAGGCCAAAGCAGGTGGATCACTTGAGGTCAGGAGTTCAAGACCACCCTGGCCAACATGGTGAAACCCTGTGTCTACTAAAAAGACAAAAATTAGCTAGGTGTGGTGGTGGATGCCTGTATTCCCAGCTTCTTAGGAGGCTGAGGCAGGAGAATCACTTGAATCCGGGAGGTGGAAGTTGCAGTGAACTGAAATTTCACCACCACACTGTAACTTGGATGACAGAGTGAGACTGCATCTCAAAAAAAAAAAAAAAGTCTTCTAGGAAGTGCCTGCCGTGGCATCATGGGTTGTTCTGTCACCTAATCAATGATTCTTTGGAGCCAGCTAGGACAGGGCTTTCATAATGCTAGGTAGAGGGACTGTTTCCAGCAAATGTTTGGGAAACCTGCTTTGCGGAGATAATGGTTTCCTAGCAATAATACCAGCCTGAACTTTCCTGAGCTATATTTTTTGTAGTTTAATCTACTAGATTGGATCAGGCTCTGATTGAGTTTTTCACACAAGCATTAAGGAGAAGAGATCCAGAGAGAGAGCACACCATCTAAAAGAAGCTGTCACACATCATATAAGAATGTCAGGATGATTAGACTTATTTTAACTACTTGGAAAAGTTTATAAGATTCCCAAAACCTTTGTATCTCCACACCTCTTTGCTATTTTTATCACCATCTGTATAGTGTCCTATTATGATTAGCCAGCAAGCTCTTGAAACGGAAAGGATTTATGTGCATGTTTTTAGTGGCAATAAAGAAAAAAAGTGGAGTGAATATTTCTGCCAGGTTGGTGTGGAACCTAGGAGGGGAGAGTAGGTGATAGCATCTCGTAGGCTGCATCTCAGAAGTCTGTGGAAAGAGAAAAAACAGAGTGTGGGAGATAGGGGCAGGGACTATATAAGAAGTCAATAATAGAAATTACTCTAGGCTCTTAGTAAGCCAGAGACAAATGGGTAGGTTTCCTGAACATAGCTAGACTGAAATTAATGATTATAAATGTCCAGAAGTTTTTTTAAAAAAGTATTTCTTAATTTATTTCTGATTTTAAAATAAAACAAACAATATTTCCCAGCAAGTTATCCTTACATCACAGATATGTTAATTTGGATAAGATTCTTAGATGCAGTGAATTGATTAATGTGAAAATTAATTTATGAATCTTAGATATCAGCAAGTGAGTAGGATTTGTGAGTTGTTTGACAATATTTCTTACATATAGTATTCGTTTTTCCTAGATCATCTGACTGCCAGTATTTCATCTCAAGAGTGGCAATTTAAAAAGGAAAAACATTTTTTCCCCTGGGCTTAGACTCCACTGAAACTTGTGGGTTGAACATTTTACCCAAATATAGACCTTTTAGTGATTAAGCTAATTTACTCTTTTCAAACTGTGACATCCTGTTTATACGAAAGAAGACTTATAAAAAGTAATCTGAGCATGAACTAACTCTTCTAAAGTCAACATCTTGGTGAACTTATGTGTTAAATGAGTCACAAATATTTGGATGAAGGTTTTCTGGTTTTGAAAGAGAAAGTACTTGGGAAAAAATGTCATTTTGGTTTCATTGAAATGGAAACATTTGAAAAAATGAAATTCACTGGTGAGCCTATCATGTAACAGGTTTACACACATATTTCTTAAGTCGGTTCTGTGAATTTTTAGAGCTGCATCCTTTATGGGCCAACTCTTAACCATCATGAGATGCATTTAGCCTCTATAATTCTCCCCAGAAATGATTTTTTGGTCACACGAAGTAAAATTTTTATAATATTTTGAAAGCAATATTATTCACTTTGTAAAATGTGTCCTTAAAATTATTTTTGTCCCAAAAGAAAGCTGAACTGGTGCCTATTCAAATTATTTACCTTACAAAAAAATGCTGTCTCTTTACTCTGACTCTTTAATTATTTGAAATTGTCATTATGAGCAACTTAAAATTTAATTTTTTCTACAATAATATTACGCTCAGTATTTTATACTTGATTTTACTGTCCACGTGCAATTTCGACTTGATCTTTAATATATACCTGCAACTTATTAGCAAAATTTGATTTCTCTACAATAACATTAACTCAGTATTTTACACTTGATCTTTAATATACTTGGAATTTACTGGTTGAATTTTTGTGAATTGAGCAAGTCCATGCTTTGTTTCAGCACCTCCGGTCTCTGTGCTGTTTGTCCTAAAATCCTTATCTTCTGCCCTGTTCTATTAAGTGTTGGATCTGCATTTAAGAATCTTGTTGATTATTATGTCAAGCACTTCAAACTTATCAGTTTTCAGTTTCAATTACTTTTTTTTTTTAAAGTCACTATTTCTTCCCCTATTCACTTACAGTATCATCTCCCAAATGTCGGTCTTTGGTCATCAGAGAGCTCTTCCTCTCACTTATCACACCAACTAATTGGCCATCAGTCCTTGCTGATCTGGCCTCTAAAATGACTCTTCATTCCATTTCTGCCCTAACTCAGACACAGTAATTTCTTAGCTAATTTAGAACAAAAGTTTCTCATGGGCTTCCCTGTCAATTTGCTCTTCTCTGCCACTAGATTTTTCTGTGCAGATAGTCAAACACGAATATATAGGACTTATCCCCCTAGAGACTTTTATCTTTTCTACCTATCTGCTTTGTGACCCGATACACATGGAGATTTATCCATGACTAAAAGTTATTTGAGTATACTATATGTTTTCCACACTGGACTATTCCATGTTTTGATTCCCATTACTTAAGACTCACTTTTTCCCTTCTTGCTTTCCTTCTTCCAGAAGTAAAAATCACTTCTTTTATGCCCGCTCATAGTACTTTGTTATTCTCCTTGCCATCATGCAATATACCCCATTGACGCTGTCTATATGAGGATTTTTTTGGGCTAAATTATTATGATTTTTTCAATAGGGGTATTTGATTTCTTATTTGTGAAAATAAAAGTAGTTTAACTGTTGGGACTTAATAAGTGCCCCCATATTAATGGGGCACTGAACAAAGAGTGCGTCGAAATGAACCTGGATTCTCATAGATATAGTTAGTGTTCCAAGTGGATGAAGTTCCAATTTTGAGAAGTACTTCAAGGATTAAAGAAAAAGAGCCTTGTCAATTTTTTCCTTGAGAGCTAGGGTTTTATTTTATGGCAGTCATGGGAATTTATCTGAAAAGTCAGAGAATAATGAATGGCAGTATTACCTGTAAATTTCTGTTTGTTCTCATGCGGATCACCAAGTCATTGTCTCTGGCGTTTGTTAGTGATTCATTGTACTGATGACTTTAAAATAAAAACCATCACTAGAGTCATTCACTTGTTGTTCAGTTTGGCATTAAGTTGATTAGGTAGCATGTATTTATTGGCAATGAGGTAAATATACTAAGTTAAGTGCACACCAACAGAAATATAATCCCTACCTTCTATTTGTTAAAATAGAGGTGGAAAAAGAAACTTAGTACACATAGAATAATTTAGACTGAGACAGATTATATAAATGTCAATGAAACATGGAGCAAGGAAAAATCATGATGATCTGAAGAAGCAATGAAAGGTCTCATTAAGAAAAACTTAACTTGTTCCTGAAAAATAGGTAAGAACTACAGGAGTGAAAATGAGAAATTCAAAATGAAGAAAATAATATGGATCCATTGATAAGAATACTAGATTTCTATGTTTTGCAAACCAAAATTCAGTTAGTAATTTTAGCAATACCTAGACCGTTTACTTTTGGGAATATGAAGTTATTTTGTTCTACTTTGTTTCTGTCTCCAGGTGGATCCGATATTGAATATCTGGACTTCTATAAGCCTGTCGTGTGGTTCTGGATCCTTGTAGGACTTGCTTACTTTGCTGCTGTCCTGAGCATGATTGGAGATTGGCTCCGAGTGATATCTAAAAAGACAAAAGAAGAGGTGAGAATGAAGAGTGTGCAAAAACACTTCTATTTAGTTAATTCAGTAAAGGTTATTTTAACTTATTTTTCTGTTTGCATTTCAAATATTTAAACATTTTAAAATGTTAGTATTTTCTATTTGGCATGAGTTTGCTCTATGAGGCTGTGGGCAAATATATGAGTTTAATTTATTCACTTAGAAAATGTTTCTGTGCCAATTGCTGTCTCAGAACTGAGGGTAATTTCTAATTAAATGAAAAAGGATGTGATTAAAATCATTTTCTTCATTATTTATTTTTCTTTTGTTTTCTTTCTTTTGTTCTCAAGGGCGCAAAATGAATTTTATTCTGTAAAGAAAAATAGAGTAGAAAATATTTGTATCAAGATATCAGTAGCATGAAATAGTGAATGTTTTAAATAATGTGCAAGTTTTTTACCTTGAAATTATTTTATTTTTCTTACTTCTATATAAATTTGTACATACACATGTATAGATATATTACAAAGCTGTATGCATTATGGCCATTTTCCCTATATACAGATTTTAACAATTTAAAAAGGTGTCCATTTACTTATCTTGTACAACTATACATGTAGAAGTGACTTAGAATTTTGACCCATGAAATTTTGGAAAATTTGAAATTTAAATATTGATTTTGCAATTCTATAGTTTGGAAATTCAATTTTGATTTTAAATTTACATATCCAGGATCACTATTAGTTTGAACGTGACACAGCAATGTTTTACTATGAAATGTGTATTTCTTGCTTCTGGGTCTTAGTCAACTTTACTAATTGTTTCAGAGAACAACAAATCTGTAAAACTTGTACCTATTGCCTTCCTTTAACTATCTATTCTTAGACCAAAGACATCAGTGTCAAACTCTTTGACTGCTACAAGCATGAATTATTTGAGCATATACACCAAAGAAATAGAATAAGATAGAAAATGATGAAATTAACTTCCCTTACAAATGTTTTCTTCATTTTCTTTGAAAGTTATAAGGTCATATAGTTTTTTTGTTTGTTTGTTTGTTTTTTTGAGACGAAGTCTCGTTTTGTTGCCCAGGTTGTAACGCAATGGCATGATCTAAGCTAACTGCAACCTCTGCCTTCCAGGTTCAAGTGATTCTTCCACTTCAGCCTCCTGAGTAGCTGGAGCTACAGGATTGCACCACCATACCCAGCTAATTTTTTTTTTTGTATTTTTAGTAGAGACATGGTTTCATCATGTTGGCCAGGCTGGTCTCAAACTCCTGACCTTCAAGTGATCTGCCCGCCTCTACCTCCCAAAGTGCCAGAACTATAGGCATGAGCCACTGTGCCTGGCCACACCATATAATTTTTTAATCATACCCAAGGTGCCAATGTGAACTAGCAAGAATGTAAATTGTCCATACTTCAAAAATATCATAGTTCCTAGTTGGGAATTTACTTATTCAGTCTGTAAGCATTAGTCTATATCTTAGTTGCAGCATCAAACAAAAATCTTTGTATTATAAACAAGTCAGTAAGACAATATGCTCGACACTCCAATTTAAATTGTATGAAAAGTCTTGCTTTGATTAGGACCTCAGTGGATTTGCCTCAACCTTAGGCTCATTGTATGTGGGGTACATGTGTGAGTGTGGTGTGTGTGGTGAGCCGGGGGCAGGAGAGACCGTGAGAAATATGATGGATGGTCATTCTTCATGTGTACTTCATGTGTATATTGAGATGCTAAAGGAAAAAATGGAAATTTTAGCTAGGGAATGTTTTGAATAACATAGCTAAAAAGAGAACTACTCAAACATCCAGTCATCATCTGGCTTTCAAATGGATTTAAAAACACATGCACGCAAGCATTTATTTTTTAAATAAAATAGACTTGAACAGAACCTATTTCATACAGTCAGGTAGTTAGGAAAAGTATTGTTTTGTGATACACAAATACCCACATATAATATTATAAATAATATGTTATATACACATACACACTAATATTTTTGTGGTTCACAGTTCAAAAGTTCGAAACCCACTAAAGCACATAGAGTACAAAGAGAAATTTTATATCTTTATGAATTGATGAAATTGGTATAGAATATCTGCTTAAATTTAAAAACCCTGTATTATTAAAAAAACAGTGCTTTTTGTGATAGGACTAGCTGAGTCAAAGAATCAGCATACTTTTCCAGAGTAATGAGTCTGCTCTGGCTGTTACATCAAAATACAACAGAATGGGTTAACCACGGACTTTTTTTTTTTCCTTATAGTTCTGGAAGCTAGAAGTCCAAGAAGGTGCTAGTAGAGTTGGTTTCTGGTGAGACCTCTCACCTAGGCCTGCAGGTGGTGCCTTCCCACTGTGTCCTCACGTGGCCTTTTCTCTATGTGCATGCATGGACAAAGAGAGCGAGAGTATGTGAACATGCGCTCTCTGGTGTATTTTTCTCTTCTTATAAGGATACCAGTCCTATCAGATTAGGACCCCACTTTTATGACCTCATTTAACCTTAATTACCTTATTAAAATCCCTGTCTCCAAATACAGTCACACTGGGGCTTAGAGCTTCAACATATGGCTTTTGAGGAGACACAAATTAGGCTATAACACCATCTTTTCAAATAAAATTAAATTTCTACATAACTGATTCATTCAAAATGAAAAAGAAGGCTGGATGTGGTTGCTTACACCTGTAATCCCACACTTTGGGAAGCTGAGGCAGGCAGATCACTTCAGCCTAGGAGAACAAGATCAGCTCGGCCAACATAGTGAAACCTCATCTCCACTAAAAATGTAAAAATCAGCTGGGCGTGGGGGTGGGTGCCTGTAGTCCCAGCTACTCAGGAGGTTGAGGCAGGGGAATCCTTTGAACCTGGGAGGTAAAGGTTACAATGAGCGGAGATGGTGCCACTGCACTCCAGCCTGGGTTAACAGAGCCAGACTCTAGTCTGGAAAAAAAACCAAGGTTGTGTGCCTACTTATCAGTGATCTTCATGACTGTCAACTGAGAGTATGAGATGTATCATTGTGTTTTCATGCTAGTTAAACGTTGCAGTGTTTTGTTTTGTTTTTTTTCTTACCACACATCTTTTGGTATCTACCTAGTATTCTGGGTAGCATGTACTTTCTGGTGATTGCATCTGTTGGAAGCTCACTTGAGTTAAGGCTATGACCAAAGCTTTAAGTGAACCCTGCAAAGATGCAGCTGCTCTGGACAGTTGAGCCAGTTGAAATGGAGCTTTCGATGGGAGCAAATGTATATATTTTCTAATTTATAATACAATGTAGGGAACTGCAAAATGAGGTCACAAATTCAACAGAGAATGTGAAGAAAGAGAGAAAGACCCCTTATAATTTGTCAAAATATTATAATTGCCAAAATTTTTATAAACAAAACACTACTAAAATTTCTAAAGCAATGGAAAAATGATTATTAATTTTAATTTTGAAATAACTTGCTAAAGGGTATAAATTAATAAAAACCCACTAAATATATTTTAGTTGTCATCTTTATGTAGACGAAGCAATCATCTCTATGTAGATGACGCCAGGTGACTGCTCAATAGGTGTTCATTACTTTCCATGCGCAAGTCATCTCAGGCACTGTTAGTTTTAAAAACCTTCAAAGTGTTAAGAAACAAGGTTATTTCTAGTTTTCAGTTTTGATGAATAAAAACACTAAACATTTTTCATAACTGGGAATCCTCTTCACTAAAAATTTAACTAGTACAAAGTATAAAAAACACAAAATTAAATATAGCTTCAAATAAGCATACTTTGACACATGCTTTCCCTGAATGAAAAGATTTTGGCTAATAACCCCAGTCTTATATTATTTTTTCAAAAACAAATCTGCATAAACCATAATGGTTTAAGTATGGAAATATAGATCTAGTCATATGTGCCCTTATTCCATTTCTGCTTTTTATGCTAAAAGATATTCTGTTTCCAGCCAGGCACTGTGGCTCACGCCTGTAATCCTAGCACTTTGGGAGGCCAAGGTGGGTGGATTAACTAAGGTTAGGAGTTTGATACCCACCAGCTTCACCAACAAGGTGAAATCCTGTCTCTACTAAAAACACAAAAATTAGCTGGACCTGATGGCAGGTACCTATAATCCCAGCTACCATGGAGGCTGAGGCAGGAGAATCGCTTGGACCCAGGGAGGAGGAGGTTCCAGTGAGTTGAGATCATGATACTGCACTCCAGCCTGGGTAGCAGAAAAAGACTCTGTCTCAAAAAAAAAAAGTTTGCAATGAAGAATAATTTTAATGAAATTATGTTTTGTTTTCCATAAACGTTGAAATACAACATGATAAAGCTAATCCATCTGAAATATTTGAAGAGGAAATGATTTGTTGAAACACACTATATATTCAAAAGTGCCACATGTAATTATAGTTGATCTGCATCAAGGAAAACAATAGTGAGCTTGATAATTTTCCAGTTTTCCACTGAAACATATGCATGTCTGTAAAAGCTTTTCTTTGTCTTTTTTTTAAGCTCCAGTGGCGGGTAGGCACATGCTTTCATAGAAAACTAATCTTTTCTATGAAACTATGTACCATCTTCTGAGGAAATAATGCTTCCACTTACAAAATAAAGCTTATTTAGATATTCTGGATAATACAATAATACTGCTACATGAGGGAGGAATAATAGAAGTAAGATATGACCACGAAACTCAGAAGGTAAAATCTATGCTTGCTTAGGAAGAAAGCAGGGAGTAGGGTGTCATTACTATGCCCAGGCATACCTCAGGTTCCTACTGTTTACATTTCTTGAGCTTGAAAGGGCCTGTAATTTCTACATACTCCTTGTATTGATGCCCATGCACCAGTGTTTGGGTGTTCCTGTGCACGTATGAGATAAATATACCAAAGCATGCAAGTGTTGTCAGAGCAGGTAGCACTATAGCTGGCCACAGTGAATTGATAGCCAAGCAGTGCTTCTCTGCCTATATAATTTCTTAGTCTCTGGAGATGTTTATGCAAATAGAGGCTCTCACTTTAGTAAACTGGCCTTGTATCATATGAAAAA